ACAACTAGCTGGGAAGTATTTCAATATGATGCCCATTTTGCCAGTCTTAGAAATATAAGATCCGGTTAGCGACAGGATCGCGGCACTATAAGATCCGGTTAGCGACAGGATCGCGGCACTCTTGAGCGCGTTCATGCTTCTGATTCAAGCGATCGGAGTGCGAAGATGACCCCGCTCTGAAGTGTTCGCGCCATCCCTTGTTGTCTAGAGTTATTATGAAGAGAGAAGCGCTCCTATTTTCCATTTTTATACCTTCTTTTTTTCATCCTAGTGGGAAGTTCGTTTGAAAGTTCTAAAGACGTTTAATAGTCTCCTTTAGGTGACGAGTGGACCGACAGCGATTCTTAGAAACAAGCAACATAGTGCGATACCTTTTAACATGAATGACTAAATCAGTGACTATATCCCAGTGTCCAATGTAAAAACGTCTGTTCATACTTGGAATATTAATCGTACCTTCGACTACCGTCTCGTTGTTCTAGATCATTATGTTGTCATAACCCATACAGTATTTACAAATTTTCACTAGGTTAGTAGAAACATACTAAACATCTTTTTATCTTTGTCTGGCTGTAAATTCGCATTCATTTATCTAACCAATAAAAATTTGGTCTTTATAGCGAGGTTTTGTGAAGTTGTATAGATAATGCGGGTTGCTTTCACGTAACCTTTTGTGTTAGTTCTCTGTGTTCTGGATGTTGGTAAGACGGTATGAACTGCAATAGGGCACGTCATACGTTGAGGATTCCCGGCGAAGGGTCGTATTTGGTCGCTGAAGGATAAATGGGTTGCCTTTGAGAAAATTGTTTTCGGGAGTCTTCAGATTTTTGTGAGAAATTCCGAAAAACTAGTATAAAACCAGGAATTTCCGGAGGATGGTGTGCAGAATGGTGATGAGGGGTCGTACCAGGGGTGTTTGAGGGAGGAGGTTGCGTTTCACGAAAACTCCCCAGCGATATGACATGCCCTGACTGCTAATCTACTTGATGCGATCGTGGTATCCGGATTCTGAATCGTTACCTGCAGCAACAAGACATTATTCGGTGCTCCACTGCCTCATGGATTTGCTTAAAAGGACTGCAGGTCGTTGCTCGTTTGGAACGTCCAAAGTGCCTACGAGGTAAGCGGTTTTCAGATGATTCTTCAAAGAGTACCCTATTGTTGGTGCTGACGTGCACGCTTGGTACACGTTCAGCTCATGCAGGCAATATAAGAGAAAAGTCAAGATGGGATTAATTTGAATAATTGAAGTTGAAGTTGATAATTGAAGTTTTTAGTGAGACTTAGTATTATCTTTATCTTTAAGCCCTTTCCCTCGATCCTCAGAAGTGCTCCCCGGACTGACCGTTCCTTTCTCAGAGGGCTGGGGCACCACTTTTGCTTTGCGATTTTGGTGAACCTTCAAAAGCTGATATTTTTCGACTTGCCCGGTCGAGTTCAACGCAGAAGTAGAAGTATTTAAATATTCAGCGCAGAAGACTGCAAGAGAGACCGAGACTTGTGCTTATGGTTCTGGGAACTACCATGGACGATTTCGAAGAATTTCGCATCCTGCTCATTCTACTCCGTTCCATGAGTTTCGACCTGAAGTTACCACTCGTCTAGGTCAATCTTACGGTGAAATACCTACGATTCCACTTAGAATGCACTGAACCCCTCGTCGTAGATACAGTCTATACTGGAGATAAGAAGATTCGTTCCTGCATATAGTTCATTTGAACACAGCGTGGCATGGCTTCGTCATGGCTATTTACATTTATTTCATTCGTGTTGTGATCTTTTCGTACAAATCGGTGTTCATGGCTGATTATGTACGCATTAACGACAATACCACAAGCGCTACTATTACCGCACAATCTAAGCAACTGCCCTTCTTTGACTACAAGATAAACTTTCG